GATAAACATCCAAATGGAGATACTGAAGAGGCAAGTGGACATACGAGTCTAGATCTCAGGCACGAGTCCTAGGCTGGAAGTAGGACCTTGGGAGTGGTGGACACATAGATGGCAGTCAGAGCCCTGAGACCAACAGAGTGTAGACGCAAAGGGAGGAGGTCCAAGGACTTAATTCCTGACACACTCTAATGTTTTATGTATTCAGAAGATGAGGAGGAACAAACAAACGAAACTAAAAAGGAGCAGCCAGTGAAGTAGAAGCAAGCCAGGAGAGGGTGGGGTCCTGGAAGCCAGGTAAGAGTGTTTTAAGGAAGAGGCAAGAATCAACTGCATGGGATACAGCTAATTGGTCAAGTAAAATGAGAACTAAGGATTTGCCATGGGATTTAGCAACGTGGCGGTCTTTACTGATCTTAACATTAATACAAAGACTTTGGGTGGCGTGCATGAGGTAAACGTTTGATTTTCAGTAGGTTTCAAGAGAGAACAAGAGATTAGTGAGAGCAAAAATGGACATGTCAAAGGAGTTTTTTTGTGAAGCGAAAGATGGAGGGGGACATGGTGACAAGAGAGCATTCTTGTAGCTTGAAAGAAATATGCTGACAGGAAAAAGGAGAGATTGTGATGGCGCAGAGGAGAGAGCACGGCAGGAACATGTCCCTGAGTCGGCGCGGTGGCATCCACACTGTGGACGGGTGCCCTCCCGCTGAACGTGAGCACTTGTGACAGGATGATCTGTTATAGTAAATATTCCAGAATGAACAGTAGCTTCCTCCAAAAGTTGCTTTCCAAAAGGAAATGTGTAATTTAGCTGTCATCGCTCAGACTAGGAAGGTCCTTAATCAGTCTTAACTCTCCCTATGTTAGTAGGCATTATTTGAGGTGAGTAAAATACAAAGAAAGTTTTTTGTTTTTTTTTTTTTAAACAGAAGGGCCTCCATTAGCCAGAAATAAGAACAGAAATATTTCTTTCAGCTCCAGGTCTCATTCACTCTGTCTCTTTACCACTCCAGAAGGACATTAAGTTTTCTCTTAGGTTAGCTAAGAATATGAAGAGCTATTTTTAGCAATGCATTCTCAAAGGGTATGTGATGTGGGATGAACGACAAGAAATTAGACCAACTCTTGCAATATCCTTTACACATAGTAGCCTTGGAAATTGCCTCTACTGTAGGTACAATTGCACTAAGGACAAATCCTGTAGTGAAACCACCTAGCTTATGATTGAATCTCCTTTACAAGTTAAGGTCTTTGTTAAGGTACGAGATAGCTCCTGAGGGTCTACCTATTGTTGATAAGTTCTTTCTCATAGAAAGCCATAGTAAGGGTTTTCTTTCATATAATTAATTATAATTTACTTCTCCAGCTTTGGGGTTTTATCTAACAATTTGAATTCTTCCTGCATGCCTTTGAGGCAGCTGTCGTGTTGCACCTGAGTCTTTCTCTCCCTTTTAAACGGTATTCTCTCCTTTTGTCTGATAGTGTTTTTAAGTCCCCTCAACATCTTTTCACTTTACCTCTTTTTTCAGTGTCCCTCTTTATTTTTTTTTTTTTAATTTTTTTTTTTCCAACGTTTATTTATTTTTGGGACAGAGAGAGACAGAGCATGAACGGGGGAGGAGCAGAGAGAGAGGGAGACACAGAATCGGAAACAGGCTCCAGGCTCTGAGCCATCAGCCCAGAGCCTGACGCGGGGCTCGAACTCACGGACCGCGAGATCGTGACCTGGCTGAAGTCGGACGCTTAACCAACTGCGCCACCCAGGCGCCCCATCAGTGTCCCTCTTTAAATACTGTGCACAGAACTGACCATATAATACTTCGTGTATTTAATTAGTACAGACATGCAACCCTTCGTTTTTTAGATATTACACTTGGACCAATGCAGTTTATAATTACATTTGTTTTATTTTTAGCTACATCATTCTCACAAGACTCACAAAAACTTAGGAAACCCCCAAGACCAAAGTTTCAACCTGTCCCTCTATAGTTATTTTGGGGACCCAAATATAGGACCTTATTCTTTTATTGAATCATCTTGTTAAATTTGGCTCTTCATTCCAAGCTACCCATACATTTTTGAGTTTGTTTTTCCAACGTAGTTCTGTTCTCAACTTCTTGTTACCTCTAAAATTCATCCGGGTCATTGCTGCAAACGATGAACTGGACAGAGCCAAAGACAGCCTTTTAGCACTCAGTAAAAAATCCATGTGCCAGATGTTTAGCACATTCTATTCGCACCATCCTTGTCACTGAGAAATTAAAATTATTAGACTGACTTTTTAATGTAATTTAATTTTTTTTAAATTTTTTTTAACGTTTATTTATTTTTGAGACAGAGAGAGACAGAGCATGAACGGGGGAGGGGCAGAGAGAGAGGGAGACACAGAATCGGAAGCAGGCTCCAGGCTCTGAGCCATCAGCCCAGAGCCCGACGCGGGGCTCGAACTCACGGACCGCGAGATCGTGACCTGAGCTGAAGTCGGACGTTTAACTGACTGAGCCACCCAGGCGCCCCTAATGTAATTTAATTTATATAATACATATTAATTTACCATACATGCATAACACATCTTCAGGAACAGAGGAAAATGTGTAAGAAAATAGAATAGGCTCCAAAAGCCAGAAGAAAAAAACACGGAGGCAGATCTGCAGGCTACGAGATCCCTCAGTTGCCATAGTTGAAGTTCTGAGTTGGGCTTTGTGCTTTTTGATGGCTAAAGCAAAATGGAAAACATGATATTAGTCCTCACCAGCCAAAAGGGAGATGGTTCCTGCTCTTAAGGAGGAGCAAAGCTTTTGCTAAATCTGATGAGGGCACTGTGGCGGCTCATCGTCTGTGCACTGAGATAACAGATGAAGTCCCAAGCATATATTCTACTCTAAGGCCACAATTGGTTGCATTAGGACAGTGCTTCCTAAATTTTGTTACTGGGGAGGAGAAAAGATTTAACCTTAAAGGTTGAGAAAACTTATAAAAAGGAAAGCTGTGCAACTTTGTTTGGACAAAATTCATGAGCAATATGAAATCTTATGTGGTGACACACCTCTTAGCTTTCCCAGAACATGGTTCTCCCTCAACACCAGTTCGAGAAGTGTCGCATTAGGCTGTTGCATACAGCATCCTTCATGAGAGGAACACCAGTTCCTTGGGAGGTTAATTGTGTTTCTTATGCATCCATACAAAATGATTCTTTGATCAAATAAATATGGGAAACCCTGGATTAAATGTTTCTTGGGGTGCCTGGGTGGCTCAGTCGGTTAAGCGTCCAACTTTGGCTCAGGTCATGATCTCGTGGTTTGTGAGTTCGAGCCCCGCATCGGGCTCTGTGCTGACAGCTCAGAGGCTGGAGCCTGCTTCAAATTCTGTGTCTCCCTCTCTCTCTGCCCTTCCCATGCTCATACTCTGTCTCTCTCTCTCTCAATAATAAATGTTAAAAAAAAATTTTAATAAGTTTCTTTACTGGTGGACTTCTTTTCAATAGGCTAATTTACATTGTGAAACTCCCAGAGGGAGCTTTCTAAAACTTATTTGACCTTGGAGCCCTTTCTGGTGGCATATGTGTTCACGGATCATAAATTAGGGAACAGAGGAAATGGATGTTTTGTAAACCCTTCAAAAACTCTCCTCAAAGAGAAAGAATGTGGCAGCCACCGTGTCATAGATCTGTCAGCCCTGGCCAAGGGCACCTGTCAGGCAAGGCTGTTCTTTCTTCTTGTGCTCTCAAACTCCAGGGCAGTGGAGTGTTCTCATTTCCTCTTAACAGGAACCAGAGTACCAAGTGCCCACCTTCACTTCCTCTGCGTCTTTCGAGATGAAACTCTGATCAGGGCAAGTCAGGTATTTGTGGTTGTATGGCTTTTTCACCAAGTTAGATTTCTGGTTAGACACTCCGGTCACTGAATTTCTCACTAGATTGGGGTTTACAATCCCACTTTCTCCGCCTGACCTCCAACCCACATACAGTATCATTACATACTGTTAAGTCTCATATGTTTGTTTGTTTTTAAGAGTAGTCTTTAAAAATTGTAAACAAGCAAAAAAATCTTGGACAGTTAGTTCTAACTTGATTGGTTTTAGTTTACCTTGGGAATCCCCAAACCTTAAAACACAACTAATACTGTAATAACATTGTATGATGACAGATGGTAAGTACACTTACCATGGTGAGTATGGCATACTGTATGGAATTGTTGAATCACTGTGTCAACTAACATTGGGTGTCAACTATACTTCAGTTAAAAAAAAAAAGAGCAAGTATTACATGACTGATTTTTAAAATAAACTTAAGCAATAATACATTTTAAAAATACTGTAATGAAGGGGCGCCTGGGTGGCTCAGTCGGTTCAGCATCTGACTTTGGCTCAGATCATGATCTCACAGTTTGTGAGTTTGAGCCCCGCATTAGGCTCTGTACTGACAGCTCAAAGCTCTGTCTCTCAAAAAATAAATAAACATAAAAAATAAAATAAAAATACTGCAATGAATATTAAACTTCATTTATTTATAATATTCTAAAATCGCATTCAGTATTTTCTTTGGATATATACATTTTATAATTGTAAATCCATACATCTAAGAGTTTACATTCTTCTCTCCCCCTTAAATCCTTATACACATTTGCTTATGTTGTCATAGACAACACACTTGTAATCCTTAATATCTATAATACCTTAATATCTAATATAAATCCTTAATATCTAAAATATCTTAGTAAAATACTGGAATATCGTCAAATTCTACTCTGACAGTTTTGAAGCCACTTTTATTTGGCAGTTGAGTTTTTTTCAAATCTCTTGCAACTTGAAAAGGGATCTTGATACCATCATATAAACTACCTTTTGTCTGACTTATTTCCTTGGTCTGTGTTCTCATGGACGGGCATGTAATACACAGTGATATATAATAATGCCTACTATCAGGCATTGCATTAATATGATTAGTTTTGTAGCTTTTGTGCGACAGTAATTTTCTCGCCTTGTTGTTCCCTAAATTCCAGGTGCAGGAGCTGCACGAAGAGGAGGCGCAGTGGGTGAACTATGACGAGGATGAGCTGTGTGTGAAGATGCAGCTCGCCGAGGGGATCTTCGAGACCTTGATCAGAGATACTATCGATGTTCTGAATCAGATCAGTGAAAAACAGGGGAGAATGCTACTTGTGTGACATCTTGCAAATAAATCGAACACTGAGTGTAATATGAGTCCTGGGCCTTTCTGCCTCCTGATACACACCCCATCTCCATCATAGCAAGAGTGCTCCTGGACTTGGTACCTTTCCTTAAAGACTACTGGTTTGGAGTTCATGGGACCATGCGGTATATCTGGTGTGACAGCCTTTGCCTTTAGAGACCGTCCACTGGATCCATTGGTTATTTTCGGTGGGCAGGGCCGCACTCCTGATGTTGACACGCGGTATAATCCTACACCTCTTGTTAGCGCCCCTACCAGGTCCCAGATGTGGGCTGAAAACACCAGACTCACCTCTTAGCTTAGACGAGGCTGTCTCTTCGTTGAATCTGAAGTCAGGCGGGGTGAGGTGTATAGCTAACGTGCGTCCTACCATTTTGGAGACGTAATCCTGGTCTATACCATGAAAGTCATAAATGGACACGATAGTCTCTCAACAGTATTAAACCCTTAACCACTTCTAAATAGGCAAGTTTAATCATGTGTGCCTATTTCACACTTTGGAATTCCTTTCGCTTCTTTTTGAAGACCGTTTTCTTCCATTCTTGCAGTTGAGCAGCACCGAGTGGACCTGTCGAGTTAACAAATCAGTGGTAGCCTTGCTTTCTGAGCACCATCTACAGAATTTTAAACCTTTGCATTATTTTTAGTTTTCTCTGTGTGGGCATGAAAACGAGGAATGCCCCCACTGAAGACCGGGCTCGAAGGACGGATGCGGGGCCGGCTCCTCTACCCCTTCTTCTGTCCCTGCACTTTGCTTACTCCTTCTAAACCTCTGCCAGCTGCTCCCAGAATCCCAGATCCTCAGGACCATCTCAGGCATCCAGGCATGGCAAAAGTGGAAATGATTCATTTTGGCCTTCAAACGTTCGACTCCCCCCCCACCCCCCATCTCTCCCCCAAGAAGTCAGAGACGCTATTACTTGAATGATTTAGGAAATGAGTGTGTGCACCAAAGACAAAAAGATATTGTCTGTTGTTCGTGTGCTTGTGTTGCGCTATGGAACGTTTTTTTTTTAATTTATTTTCAGATAAATTATTAAGTTGGAAACGTGTGTCCCTATTCAGAAGTGAAAGATTCTTCTTGTAATAGTTAAGCTTCCGTCTTGAAGCTTCTGTGGTTCATAGTCTTTGCACAGGAAATCTACGGTTTAAACAGACCCGTACACATATCGAAGAAGGCAGTTTGATTCGGTGAAAAGAAGATGAGCTTTTCCGAGATCACCTGCAGTAGCAGGAATGGAATAAGGTGATTTAAAGACACTGCACAATTCAGTTCTGCCTCTCCTGCAGCATTGCTTCTCACAACTCTTACCTGTACCTGAAAAGAAATACATAGACTCCAGCTGCTACGTTAGAGCACACATGATGCTCTCCGGGACCTCAATACACTGCCTTCTCGACTGGTTTCTCTTAATCGGTCCCATCCTTCTTCAAGTAATCTAGAAGAATGTGGATAATCTTAGGCGTGAATGTAAATGCCTTAATATTGGAAGGTCCTGACTAGAAGCATGATATAAGACATCCACTGGATTCCTATTTACAAATATCCTGGAATGTTAGAGCTTCACAATATGTTAGAAAAACCCCAAAGATGGTATAATCTTTAAGTGTGCACGTTCGTTCATTTCTGCATCTTCCCTGTCAACTTGCCTTTGCGTCTCAAGTGTTTCACTATGCACACTTCCATTCCTCCTTGGTTTCATCTTGTCATCATGAGACACTTACTGAAATGATCATTGGAATATTTGCATTTTGCACAATGACTGGTCTGATAGCTCTTGACAAATAAGGAAAGCACTGAAATGTGGTGACTGGGTCTCGGGAAATGCGCAGTTTGATGCATCGCCAGCATTTCTTCTGGGCTTTTGATGTTGAGCTCTAGTCTTGTAGCCATAACGAGCAGATTGACTAAGAGAAGCTAGGGTTTCTTGGGGTTATTAACCAGTAGTGTGGAGATATGTTCTCACGCGGCCAAGGAAAAGCAAAGGCCTTTGTTTTTAGTCTGTGTTACTTGGAAGACAGAAAAACATCTTGTCTACACCCTTTGGCTGTTTGTAGGATTACATTGTCCTTATGATACTGAAACTTTACAGCTGCTATAAATTTTTTATAAGTGAATATAAAAATAATATAATAGGAATATAGGTTGTTTTTCTACATTCTCATTATTTGGATCTAAATCAATTTTTAATAAGAAAGTTAATCTTTACTCTTTATGACATTATGATTCCAGAAAAGGAAAAGAGTAGATCAGAGTGCGGAGCCCGTAGAGTTCCGTGGTGAGGGCGCTGCTGGGGCTGCGCGGTCCTCAGAAATCCGGGCTCCACCGGGGAGGCAGCGGTCGGTCCGTCTTGCCCCTGCTTAGAAATGGTTGTCCATAGTTTGGTAGCAGAAAACAGAGGAATCTATAATTAGCAGATTTCTTATTATTTTAACTATTGGATATAATGGAAAAGGTGTTTCTTGTTAGCATTAGGATTGATGACTGTGGACATGCAGCCACTCGTTCCATATTGGGATCTTTTTAATCAAGCTCTGCCTCTTCAAGAATCTAAATAGTCCCTCTTTCTAATCTTTGTTCCTTCTCCCCACGCTCCCATCCTCTTTCACTCTTTCTTTGTAATTCCTCTAAGAAAAAGATCTTTGCATCAGCAGTAATATCTTTTAGAATAGCACTATCAGAATTTAGTAGTAAACCAACATAGAGGCTTCAGATTTATTTCTGAGTCCAAAATAATTTGTGCTATCCAGGGTACTTGACTCTGGGTTAAATAAGTACAGGGTATAGATTCCCTCTTCAGGTCTAAACAGGAATTTTTATTCTAGGGAAAAGTGGGAAGAGCTCAAAAGTAGTTAATAAGGAAGGCAATTTGTTTTTCTTTTACCCGAAAGAAAAGAAAATTCCTTCTGTGACTACAGGTCTCTGAGAAATTATCTTTCAGAAGAGATTTCATTGCTCATAAGAGTGTTGTGGCCTATTGATAAAAACAATTTTGTTCACTTTCTTGTCTTGAAAAAAAGTGGCCTTAGCTTTTTGCAATACTTGAATAAAGTGTGTACTCGCACAGCGTTAGAGACTCATAACTTTTCTGCAAGAAGTTCAAACTTACATCTTCTTTTACTACCTTAAGAATACTAGTGAATAAAAACATTAATTCAAAGAGCAAATGATAGAAACTACAATGATGTTTAATGCAAATTGTAGGAACTTACATGTTTACAAATCATCTTAAACTGGTTGTGCAGCAATTCAATAAAATATCTTTGTATTATAAAAATGTGAAGAAAACAATGTAAACTGATGTAAAGGAGGTACTGTCATTTTAATTAACCTGTATGTTTAATAGCTTTTCCTTCCGGACTTTGCAAAGCCTTCTCGGGAAACACGTTGCAAAGCGTTCTCTGGGAGGCCTGGCCTCCGTGTGTGTACTGTACTGTGCAGACATGAAAAAACAAACCCGTTTACTGTGTATGTGTAAATAGCCTGGTCACCAGGCCATTTTCAGCCAATAGTCACATCCGGTGCAGCTCGCACACGACACTTGGGGTGTGGTTTGTAAGTATGACCTGTAAAATAACTGGGATGGATTCCCATGTATACCTGTGTAAATAGATTTGTTAACTGAAATGTACTTTAAGAAAAGAGAAAATCTGTAAATAAACTGATTTATAAATTAATACCGTGTCAGGTGTTTGCGTCCTCACCTTTGGAGACAAGTGTAGAAAGCCACAGTCCCCGTGAAGTTCACTGACTTCTGGTTGCCGGCGGGACAGCCGACTAGGCTGAGCTGTGTGGAGGACCTGTTTGCCGTGCTCACAGACGCACACGTCTGAGCAGCCTGGGCTCTGACGTTCGTCACTCGTTTGTCCAGTCGTTGGGCACAGCTTCGTGTCCTGAGCACTGGGCAGAGGGCTGGAGAGGTAGCGGAGGCAATGGACGTGGTCCCTGATCTCATGGAGCTTAAAGTCTACTGAAGGCGTCATCAAAAAAGAACTTCCAAAACAATGTCTAACAGATTGCAGGAGGTGCTGAAATGAAGCACTCACGGGGGTTTGAGAATCTATTGACAAAAGGACCAGCAAGGGTGGGGATGGGCCAGAGAAGAGCTCTCTGACAAATGATAACTTTGAGCTCCATATTGATGGGTTTCTTCCCTGTAATTCATGGGAAAACTCTTCTCTCCCAGGTGACTTGATTTCTGATCATCCTCGCAAAATAACACACAGAAAAGTCACACACAATTAAGTGGGCCATAAAAAAGCAAGCATCCAATGACTAGGTGTGGAGGCTCTAATTTATTTCTAGAAATACAAGCTTGGAGAAGAATGGAGCTAGCGATCTAGAAGAATAAAAGAATTTCAAAGGTTGCAACGTATGGCCCTCAGGATCATGAATCCTCTCTGGTCCAACAGACTGGAAGTAACCACCATCATCACGCCTGAATTCCTCTAGTAGCTTCCTGATGGCCAACCCTGCTATACCTTTAATCCCTACACAACCGTGAACCTTAATGGAATTCTCGGAAGAGGACTAACCCCAAATTGTGGCAGGTTCTAAAATATTTCTTGTGATTCCCAGAACAGACGTGTGAGTGAACGCCCATGATGTGCCAGATACTGTGTTTGGTGCTCAGGGCATGATAGGAATGACAGGTTGAATCTTGGCGGGGGGGGAACCCAAATATCCATATCCTTGAATCAAAATACGTGAAAGTAGTAGGTAGATAGATGGCAGAGCTAAGAAAGGTGACACCCAAAGTGATGTGATCTACAGGGGCGAGTGCTGGAGAACCAGCCAGTGCCCTACGAAAAAGCTCAGGAATGGGAGATAGTGACTGCCACAGGCAAAGGTGGGAAGCAGGGGGATTGTCCCTCCCTTCACTGGGAGGCCAGGCTATGTGGCCAAGGTTAGAAGGCAGGTAAGTGGCACCCAGGGAAGAGACCAATGCTGTGGTACGAGGTTGCTGAGAACAG